AAGTAGTGCGTGTGTAGGGCGGTAGACAGTTTTTAGCTATCCGACGCAGCCCTCTGATCAAGGACAAGACGGACGTGTTCCGTAGGGCGTCTGAAGCGAACAGTGGACACTAGCTGAAGCCGTTATTACTTGGTGGTAATACAGGGGCCTTCCAACACGGTTGGTTCCCAGTGCATCAGGACCTTCACGAGGCTTGGCCCTGTGGCACGAACTTTAGCCGCAAGGAGAGAGTGAAGAGGGAGAGTGAGGTCTACGGAGGATTTCTACGGAGGGTTTCTACGGAGGGTTTCTACGGAGGGTTTCCACGGAGGGTTTCTACGGAGGGCCTCGGATAGTTAGAGAGAGACACCAGAGGGAGAGAGGGAAAGGGTCAGTACCGACGACGAGAGATCCTGAGCTACCTACGACCGAGTGAGAGACGGAGTTAGGAGAGAAGAAGTACCAGAACAGAAGAAGACAGCGCGGGAGCACCGAAACAGAGTGACGGCTGACTGGAAGACATGGTGGGTCGAGCAACGCGGTCTTCACCAAGGAACAGCAGCACGCCGACGTCCAGTTCCTCGACCGCGCGACGTACAACGCCGAAACGTGCGCATCCAACCGAGAACACGTATTCGCCTTGCTGCCAACAACGATAGTTCGGACGACGATGGCGGTGTGGCTGCGAGTAGCAGTGTAGTGTTCGCAGCCATGGCCCCGAGACCCCGAGGCCGAGGCTCTAACAATGACACTGACAGTGATAACCAGGTCCAAGCCGCCCAGGTTCAAGACAAGCAGCAAGATGACGGCAACCCACGTGGCAGTGCCGGCCCAGGACCAAGCGCAGCAGGGAGGAGACGACCTGGGGTCCATGGATTGGTGGGACCAATTGACGCCAGCGCAGCAGCGAGCTATGATGAAAAGATTCCTCATCCAACCGCTCGCACCAGCACCGCCTCAACCAGTAGTGGTGCAGGCACCTGCACCCGTGACCCCAGTACCGCGGCGGAAGATGAAGACGCTACATTTGGAAGATTTCTACGGCACCACTGGTGAGTCCATCGAAGCATGGCTAGCGACGATTCCCCAAGAAGTCGAGCGTCAAGCTGGGCTAGGAGGAGACACCTGGACAGCTGAGGAGCTGTACTATGGAGTGACTGCGCATTTAAAGGATAGCGCGGGTAAGTGGTTTACCACGCTTTCGGAAACGATGCAAGACGATGACAAGACGCTGAGCTACTTGGTGCGGAGACTACGACAGAAATATGGAAGTAGGGACAACCTTTTCAAAACACAACAGAAGCTAGCCGCCCGAGAGCAACAAGCGGGTGAACGGTTGAGTGAGTTCGCAGCTCACCTCACGAATATTGGCTTCGGCAAGAGAGTGCCAGCAGAGTCCTACGTTGAAGCATTCATCAACGGCATCAACAACCCAACGACGGCGACGCAAGTGGGCGCGTATGAGCCCCAGACTCTGGACGCGTTGCAGTTCGCAGAAGACAAGTGCGGGCTGTACGGTGAGGGCTTTAATGTGACGGACTGGCGAGTGGCCAAACGCCGCTACCGCGAAGACAGGGAGCTTGGGGACGACGAAGAAGAGGCCCCACCACCCAAACGAAGAACGTCCACCGCGGCAGCATTGGAGCAGCTCCACTGGAAGAAGCTTGGATTCGGCCTAGGAGGGGGAGACTCGCCACCGAAGTTCGATGACGGCGGCAACGAAGTCAGCGATTTGGAAAGGACTGCGAAGAAGGACCCTTTGTCGATGGCGGCGCTGCAAGCCTTAATTTTGACATCTGGGATGGCGCGAGAAGAAACGCACGGCTTGAAGCAGACGACTGGCAAACAGAAGGCCCGTGCTCTCGAGATAAAGGCGGAGGTCCAGCAAAAAGTGAGTCCGGCAACGGAGGAAAAAGACAATCAGCAACAAGGCACCGTGTGGCCACCCCGCAACTCTGGGGGCTTCAACGGAGGGCACAGTTTTAGTGGAGGCCGAGGATTCAACGGAGGACGGGGATCTGGCAGTGGACGCGGTGGGCTGGAGCACTACGGTCCCCGCACGATTCAACAGCACAAGTCTACTTCCCGATGTGGCTACTGCAACAAGATCGGCCACTGGTGGCGTGAGTGTCGCGCACGGATCGCGGAGCTGGAAGAAGCTTTTCCGTACTAAAAGCGTCCTAAACGTCCTAACTTGTCCTAATACCTACTGTCATAAATGACGGTATTGGCACGAACCTTCGGCATCGATTCTAGGACATTTAGGACACGTAGGACAGTGAGGACACGTAGGACAGTGAGGACACGTACGACAGTTAGGACACGTAGGAAACTTATACACTGCCCATGTCAACAAGATATCTCTTATGACTTACTGAATGTCAGAATACCTACTCAAACGCCGTGTATTCCCCAGGAACTTCAACATTCACAGATCGCGCGTGAGCAGGAGCGCTCTGCCGACCATGCTTGATGTCGTCCAGCAGCTTTACGTAAGAATGAGCTTCTTTCTTTGCAGCTTCAATGAAGACGAGGATACTTGGATGCGGCGCACCAATGCGAGCAGCAAAATCGCGATTGTACTTCTCCAGCGGGTTATTAGTCCGATTTGTCATGCTCACATTGTTGCGCCGCATCTGGCCCACGTTCCACAGCGACATGTCGAACCTCTTCGTCCACGTTCGTACAAAGTACTTCCAGAAAGCGGTCCATTTAGTTTTCGTCTCGGTCTCGTCGATGATTCTTCGAACGTACCGTAGTCCCTGCATAAATAAAATAAATAAAAAGTATTTTTATATAAGTCATATTTTCCGAAAGTAAATACAGAAAAATTACGTACCTTGTCCAGCACTTCTTCGGCAGGAATGACTGTAAGCACGTCCAGCTTTCCAGACTT